AGGATGATTTTTTTTTCTTCTCCAGGGACACTGCTTCCTTTCAGTATTTTCTAATAGATATCTGAAAGTACATCTGACAGGCAGCCAGATAAAGGGAGGCTGTCAAATTGCTTCTCCACAATAGGAAACCCATTTATATGAAACACTCCTACAGAGTGACTGTGTATGTTGCAGAAAAGGGTCAGAAGAAGATGACCTATCCTTTTGATTTATAGCTACAGGGGTTCTGGCATCTTGCTGGACACTTGTTGCGGTTAAATAACTATTAAATTGTCAATATTCCAAGAAAAATAAAACATATACTCAATTTTACTGTGAAAATTATGCTAAATAGCTAAGTGTGCTGTTTGTATTTGATTTTGTTGGACTGCACAGTGCACTGAAATCACCGACTGTCAGATGTAATATGACAACCAAATGCTTGGAGGCTAGAATTGTTCTGTCACTGTCATGCTGGGGATAATTTATGCCAGTAATCCTCTGGCACATCTGAGCAGCAGGACACACTGGATCTTATTCTATTGCCTCAGCGGAAGATGTACTTCAAGGCAACTTGGTAACAGTGCAATGATGGGATCCCAGGTGTTAAACCACCAGCAGTGCTGCGAGGTACACACAGAGCATTGCCTTTGTTGTTTCTCCCAACCCATCACCTAGCACTGCTTCTTGCCTGTCAAGCACAGGGAGATATCATAAAAGCAGCTGCTGATGTAGAGATGGAGAAAGCAGGCTAAAAGACATAAGCCCTCGCAGTAAGCGGGTTCAAGAGAGGCGAACCAAGATGATTGTTTCAACATGGTGATCTCCTCCTCTGTTGCTGACCCAGGCAAAGCCTCCCTAGCTGCTGGTACCGTATTCATGCTGGCAAGGACATATTAACCTACCCAGGCAAGTGGTGTTTCAGTTCTGCAAGAGGACTCAGAGTTGTACTTAAGCTCCCACCCTTTATCTGCAGCTTTTACTTCGCTGCCCATCTGAAGGAGCTGTATGTGCAGGCTAAAGAGAGTATTTGTGCTTTCTAAGCCTGACAGAAAGTCTGCTAGACCAGATGTAGCCAAGGGCATGTACACAGAAAAAGATAATTACTAAGAGATTGTGTGCTTAGTGATTTGCTTTATGCAAGTATATGCAAGTATATCCAACTTTGTCCCTCAATTTTAAGACCTGGTCCAAAGCACACTGAGTCCAGGAAAAATCTCTGGGCTTTAATGTGTTTTAATAACTGGAAAGTTCATTAACAGTATGTTTCTAAATAAAATGAATTTTATACTCTTTGTTCATGGGCTGATGAATAATAAAAGCTGATACAAGATTTGGCCTAAGCAAATATGCACCTCTATTTACAGATTTACAAAGGAAACCTTGCACAGCACCTGCCCACACATAATCTTGGCTCCTGGCACCACTATAAGGAGTATTGAATTCCTTCCCACCCACACATCTTTACATAAGTGAAAGCTTAAACATCAATTCAGACTAAACATTTTCAAATGCAGAATCCCTTTAGTGTCATAAAAAGAAACAGTGGTGTAAATGAACTTTAATTTCCATCATGTTCAATAACCGATGTGCTAAAAACATAGATTTTAAAACAGTACATAGTCTATTTAAAGTTCTTGATTCCTATTTCTAGTAAATTCCTGTGTTTCAGCAGCACATTGTGTTTCCACTGGAGGCTGAGACCACCATTAGATGTTATACAGCAAGTGGAAAAAGTTTCTGTCCTGAATACCTGACAAAAAAAGGTGCCATATAACATGCCCCTCTACTCCGCTCTTGTGAGGCCCCACCTGGAATACTGCATCCAGTTCTGGAGCTCCCAACACAAGAGAGACCTGGACCTGTTAGAACAAGTCCAGAGAAGGGCCACCAGGATGATCCGAGAGCTGGAGCACCTCTCCTATGAGGACAGGCTGAGAGAGTTGGGGCTGTTCAGCCTGGAAAAGAGAAGGCTCCAGGGAGATCTTATAGCAGCCTTCCAATACCTGAAGGGGGCCTACAAGAAAGCTGGGGAAGGACTTTTCATAAGGACAACTAATGACAAGACAAGGGGAAATGGGTTCAAGCTGAAAGAGGGGAGGTTTAGATTAGATATTAGGAAGAAGTTTTTCACTGTGAGGGTGGTCAGACACTGGAACAGGTTGCCCAAGGAAGTTGTGCATGTCCCCTCCCTGGAAGTGTTTAAGGCCAGGCTGGATGAGGCTTTGAGCCACGTGATCTAGTGGAAGGTGTCCCTGCTGATGGCAGGGGGATTGGAACTAGATGATCTTTAAGGTCCCTTCCAATCCAAACCATTCTATAATTCTATGATTCTATGATATGACTTCCAACTTGCCCTAGTGAAGAAGGGCAACCTGAAGTAGAATTTCCTAGCCTCTAGTGGGTCCAGTTCTTTCAGTGGACTAGGAAAACATGGTCTGTGAAAAATGGCTAGGAAAGGTAGCTCTGTATTTGTGTCACTGAGCAACATAATTATGTATAGACTGGCATCATCAGCTACAAAATTTTAGGAGTCCATTGATTAAGGGTAGGTTGAGAATCACCATGGAGGAGCAGGAATAGAAGGGATGTCACTGATGTCCAGCCTGGAGTAAAAAGAAAGATAATGTGACAGTCTCTGATCCTATCTAATAATAATGAGGGTCTAACAAAGAGGCATCTAATAGAGAAAGGTTTCCAGAAAACAGCTAATTATCAATGCCATTAATTCAACATGACTTCAGAAGTTTTTAAAAGTCAGACTGGGGTTTGAGCTTGCCCCAGTGTGCAAAGGTCAAGAAGCTGAGGGCTTTGTCCTTCCCTTCTGACTCCACCTGGTCTTTTGCAGGATGACAGCAGTCTGTCATCTTTTTCACAAATTATGATGTTCTACCATCTTAAAATAGTACCACTCATAACCCGTATTTGGATAATGCAAGACAACGAGAGGCCTGGGACATTTCCTGGCTGATCTCAAAGTGACACCAACACCAGAAAGGCTTGAACCACCCCTGCCTGACAGCAGTAACAGAACTGTAGAAAAACTGGTAAAAATCAGCTTCCATCACTATGGAAAAATCAGCTCAGCTTGGTGACTTCACTGAGATGAAAGCATCCGCAGCGTTATGGGCAGGTCAGCGGGGAGGGTCATGTTCAAACTCCACTTTGCCAGGCACAACATGGCAAGACTGTGCTCCAGACCAGCCAGCTCTGTGTCAGCTTCCATGGTAATTCCCACTGCATCTCAGAGAAATATTTTTGTTACTTCAAGATCCAAACTGAACTACTGTAAAACCCAGCGTTGACCTCCTGGACCTACTTCATACTTCACACCATTTCACTCACTGCAGCTGTACCAACTTTATGGGAATTTACACATTAGTATGGAAGAAAGGAAAAGTAGGTCAGTCATCTTTAGAAAAACAACTTGAATCTTCAGAGCCAATTTATTAAACTGAACCTACATAAATATGAAAGAATAAGGATCTCAATTGGCTTCAGTTTACGAAGCTAGCACCTGAAGTCTGCATTTCAAAGGCTTGTGCATTTTGCATAATTTTCCTCCCTCTCATCAACCCCTTCCCTTGTAATTTATGCTATATGCATCTTGAATTAAAGAAAAATAATAATTTTCAGGCACTGTTAACCATGAAATGAATTCTCCAGGTTTCACTGCATATTAATAAGCTCACTCTTGCATCAATTCAAATCTTGCATAATTATTTTATAGCATCCTTTTTAGTTTAATTTTGCTACAGTATATATACCAACTCTGGATATGAATGTTTCTAGCATAAACATTCCCTTTGTACAATGATTCCAGCATATCTCATTACATTAGGCAGAATTAAAATTTAAAAAAAACCCCAATACTCTTGTTCAAGTCACAAACCAAAAGCTGGCAGTGCTTGGGGAGAAGCTACAACTAAGGTATTCTACACAATACATTTGTTGAGTTTTTTTATTTTGTTCTACAGTACACAGCATTATTCACCATCAAATAAAGGTTATTATGAAAAGCTGGCCAAGAGTTTGATCTGATAAATTAATTCTTATGTTCATAAGATGCTACTGGCTTATATATCTCTTAGAACTGTGCATAAATGCGATAAAAGAATAACACAAGGAAAAGATGCAGAATATCAGTCCTCCAGTTGTTCTGCCCCTGTAAGCTGCATCTATATTTCCTGCTTCAGTGAACAAATGTGGGTCTCCACAGATTGCCCTTATCACCATGCACAAAATTTTTCAAAAATTAATAAAAAGATGAATAATTTACCAGTATCAGGGCTCAGATGATGTTCACCTATTAATAGGCTAAACCATGATTTGCTTATGCTTCTCTAAAAAAGTTGAAAATATTTTCTTCAAATCTACTGTAAAGTCAGTAACAGAAGAGAATTAAAACTTGTTTATAGTTTATTATGTAAAAAGACAGCTGCTCCCAACTGAGGGAATTGAATTACAGATCTCCAACAGTAACTTTGCTATAAACATCTCCGAGAACTTCTACTTGTTCTGCAGGGAATTTCCCACCCAGAAACTGAGCACAGAAGGGCACTAAAGACTTTACAATAAAAGGAAGTATTCTTCCTTCATTTTTCAGCTACCAAGAAGGAGTCTTCTCATAAGAATTGCTTCAGGGAAATTTGATCCTTAAAATCATAAGAAACTGGCTCAGACCTGTGGGTTTGTCCAGGCCAACCTCCAACACAAGGTAAATCAACCTTTGAAGTTAAGATTAAGTTGCTCAGGCTTTTGCCACCTGAATTTTGAAAATCACCAAAGATTGCGATTCCACAGCCTTTGCAGGTGACCTGTTCCAGGGCTCATATCCCCACAGGGACTTTTTGGCCTTCTCTTCTGCAAGCTGAACCTAATACCCTCAGTCAGAGTGGAGTTGAGAGGAATAATCCTTTCCCTGGACCTGCAGACTCCTTCCCCTTGCAAACATTTCTGTTAGTGCTTACCACAAATATATTCTCTTAGATATATATTTATGCATCCAAATTAACACTCACCAGCCACTGCTGAGGTATTTCTGGCAGAGGCATCTGAGGAGGTGCTGGCAAACTGTTGGCAGCTTCTTGCTTCTGTACATGTTCTTTTATTTCAAAACCTGTGAAAAAGCAACAGACATCACTTAATACTTTGGTGGATGCAAATGGGACATTTTTTTCCATATGTAGACACCACGTCTGACTGTCACACACCAAAATCTGGCATACAGTGCTGCTCACAACCTACCTCCCAAGCACAGTTACCAAGGCAGGACGGGAAGAATGCTGAGAATTCAGGAATTTAATCAAGCAGAACAAACACATACTTACTCTATATGATAATGACATATATGCTATTTGGATCAACAAATTGACATAGACATAGAAAAAATTTACAGGAAATCATTCTGAACTGCCTATCCATCTGGAACTGAAAGACTTAAACAGCTAAAATTCACACATTGCCAATCATCTACCATCCAGATAAAACCATTTACGGGGGGAAGATACCACATTTGTGAACATTGCAATGGCACCATACAGTGAATAAAATATGGTCAGCCTGTGGGCTGGCTGCCTTTTACCGCTGAAATACACAGCAGTTGTTCCCGTGGCACATTTTGGATGGGCAAGGCCATCATGCAGAAATGAGTTCAAAACCACCTTTCATGCCAAAAGAGGGGGAAGAGGCAGAAAAAGAGAACCTGCCTCCCCTGCAGCAGGGGTGACAGCTATTCAGCCAAGCCCATAACACCTATATTCCCTGGGCTCCTGTTGCCCCCACCACATCCGACCATGGAGCTGTAGTGTGAGTGAGTCGGCACAAGTCCTGGGAGATGTAGGATGCTACGGCATCCCACCCTGGAGCACACTGCTGCTGGGGGTACATTGACCTAACCAGCTCACCATTAACAGAAATGCACACTGAGCATGTTTTCCCACTATTTTTTTTCTTCCTCTCATTTTTTAAAAATAATCCCATAGTTTTCCAGGTGAATTTGAAAAGGGAAAAGGAGACAAATGTAAAAGCTGCTTTGAGGGTCCTTTGTATCACTATTGCACTTCCCTCCCAGGGTAAAACAGGAGTGACCCACTCGTTGCAAGTTTTTGGCACAGTAATTTAAATCCCAGTTGAAATCAATTCATAGGAACATGATATAGTTTATTTTTCTAAATATAAAGAGGGAGATTAGAGTGCATCTCCTCAATGTTCTGGCAAAAATTCAGTCAATGGATTGCACCCTTCTTACCCCTAAACTGAATTTAACTCCTAGTGTTTAGTTTAGTTTTTAAAATATATATTTACATAGTCAAATGGATGTCTTTTGGTCAAGATCATATAATTCTCAAAAATGTAATCAATGATGAAATGTTTCTTGTCATAATAACCCAGTCCCACTGGCTGTGGAGTCATAGATTGAATAACAACACTGATAAAATAAACTGGCTCTAAGGGCCACAGATTCTTCTTTCTTCCTACAAATCAAGAGGGGGATTAGTCTTGGGAAACATTCCTTTTTTTTTTTTTCTCCCAGTATAACTTTCAGTTGTTCCTCTTCATGTAGGATGAATCCATATTATGACTGCTATCCATATCCAAGCCTCTCATGCTTTACAGAACAACTATAAGTCAAATATGAAGGGCTTTTTACTGTAAAAAAGTATTCCAAGTGGATTCTACTGCCTCTCTAAAACTGTTTTTTCCCTAGTTTTAAACTATGTGTGTTTAAGCAAGAATCTTCTCTAACATTTATTTTCTTCTACCAAATTACACAGCAAAGTCAGTATTATAGGTTTATGGCATCGGGTCCCTTTAAGGAAAACGGGCAATGTTGACAGTCATATTAAATGACAAAATCCACCAACAGTTCTTACTCCAAAATAAACTGTTTGTGTCTTTGTTTTTTAGAAGAAAGTCTGAGTTTCAGAAGGAAATGCCAAATGTTTTGTTCAGACTTGTAATCCGTTGGGCATGCCAAGGCTCAGGAAGAAAAATAAAGTTTATAGTTTTGCCAGCTATTCAGAGTAACCACTGATTTGGATGTGGGGCAGGTTGAGGTCAGGCAGCTACGACCTGAAGAATACAACTGCCTAGCCCTGTTCTCTCTGCTTGATAGGTATTAAATAAAGAAAACAGTGTGCATTTGGGAGATGTAACAAAACAAGGCAAAAGATTTCCAAAGAACTCCCCAAGAACTTACTGAGTTTGAAGTGTTTTACTAAAAGCCAACCAGCTCATTATAATAATTTCCACACCTTTACAAAGAAAAACATAAGTGTCCATTTCCAGATGTTATAAAGAACCCAGCCAGTTCCCAGTCACACAGATCCGTCATTGCCACTCCTCACTGATCTTAAGTGGTTTGTTCCAGAAATCAAGATATCCTGTTGGATTCACACAGTTAATTTTTGCAAATGCATATAAACAGTTTGAACTCAGCACAGTCCTCAGGCTTCTTAAACTGTGCCAGCAACCCAAGAGCTCTCATGGAGTTCTGTGGGTGGAGTAAAACAACATTTTGAAAAACAGGCTCTGAATGACAGTTCAGTTTAGTTACAGAGTGCTGTGGGTTTATGCATCTTTTATTGCTTTTAATTTTAATTAAGAGATGAATAGTTGCAAAGAGATGGGAGTACTGAATGTTATAACTGATAAAAAAAAGCAGTAGGGTCAGCTCCAGTAAAGTTCATGACTCCCCGGGTAGTTTCACACGCACTTGAAGGCAACAGAGGATGGCAGAGCTCCCACGGAGGCAGCTACTCTCACTCCCTGTCTTGTTCCACTCCCTGCCCCAACCTCTCCTTTGTGCCAGCATAAGCATGTGGGTGGCCTCAGGTTGAACCAGACCAGGGAAGTGACACTGGTTAGGACTAAACTTGCTAAAAAGAGCAAATAACACTTCTGTTAGCAGAAAGGAAGATGCAATACATGATGAGCAAGAATAAGTAGTGCGGGGAGAGAAACAGGATTATTTTTTTAGAGGCCATGCTGGTTTGAACTTTATTTAAACTGCAGTTCCATAAAGTAGAGTTTATAGACATAAAGTACAGTCCTATGCCCTCTTGCTTAACTGAATTATGGGATTTCATATTCATAGAACCATAAAATGGTTTGGGTTGGAAGGGATCTTTAAAGGTCATCTAGTTCCAACCTCCCTGCAAAGAGCAAGGACATCTTCAACTAGATCAGGTTGCTCAGAGCCTTGTCCAACTGGACCTTGAATGCTTCCATGGATGGGGTTTTTATCATCTCTCTGAGCGACCTGTGCCAGTGTTTCACCATCCTCGTGGTAAAAAATTTCTTCCTTACATCTAGTCTAAATCTACCCTCATTTAGCTTAACACCATTTCCCCTTGTCCTATTGCAACAGACCGTGCTAAAAAGTTTGTGCCCATCTTTCTTATAGGCCCCTTTTAAGTATTCAAAGGCCAGAATAAGGCTGCCCTGGAACCTTAAATTTCACAGAATAACGGAATGTAAGGGGTTGGGAGGGACCTCAGGAGATCACCCAGTCCAACCCCCCTGTCAAAGCAGGTTTCCTACAACAGGTTGCACAGGAAAGCGTCCAGGCAGTTTCTGAACATTTCCAGAGATGAAGACTCCACAACCTCTCTGGGCAGCCTGTTCCAGTGTCCTGTCACCTTCACAGTAAATATGTTTTTCCTTAAGTTTGTGTGGAACTTCCTGTGTTCCAGTTTTTGCCCACTGCCCCTTGTCCTGTCACCGGGCACCACCAAAAAGAGCCCGGCCCCATCCATTTGGCCCCCACATTTCAGATATTTACAGACATTGATAAGATC